GTAATCTTTTGGTTCCCATAACATTTGACATTGCGGGAATACCACGTTCCAAAGCAAATTGCACCTGCGCCTCATGTTCATCTTTGGGAGCAAATGACAAAGCAAGCACATCTCTATCAAAAAGGTATCCCCCAAAGCTAGCAACCCCACACCCAACATCCAATATAACACGGGTTCTATTTCCCCATGCAATATCAGGATATGACTGGGAAAAAAAACATATAATAATAACATCAGTAAAGAATGAGAAAGTTGTGTAGACATTGAAAGACAGATAAAAAAAAAAGTTGTACCGCTTGGAGGAAATCGATGTAATGAAGAGCACCATTCTTGAATTGAGTACCTCCACCAGGGAATGTTAAGTATTCACCACTCATCTTCACCCAGTTTTGATGTCCTTTAACCTCAGCAAGCTTGGCGTGAGGAACATTGGTGTACCAGATCTGCGCCAACACAAAACAGAAGAGTTAGTGGTCATCTTTGACAAACGAGAAGAAGCATGAACTTTTCTAATGCATATTAAAGTTTTTACCTTTTCTCTGCTCTTAGGCCACTTGATGGATCGCTTATACCCTTCGGGCAGAGAAACAAGGCAGCGTGGAGATTCCTCGGGACAATGCCTCTCACGGTGTTCATAATGCTTTGTAGAATGAAGCTTTCTGATAGCTTGCCAGTTATCAAGGCAAGGAATGTAATCTGGTCCAGCTGTCACATTGCACAGTTTCCATTCAATTGAGGACACTTGAGCTTTCTTCTCGTTCTGCGACTCAACCAATTGGGTTGACCAAGCCCCGCTGCCGGTGCTTGACTCCTTTGTGATTTCAGCCTGATCACCAGCAGGGAAAACATCCTTGGTACTCTTCTCGGTGTTCTCTTCGGTTTCACTAGCGCTTTCTTCAGACTTTTTCTCGGTGTTCTCTTCAGATTCACCAGCGTTTTCTTCAGTTCCGTTACCATCCTCAGATTTGTTTTCTTCCGAGCTCTCTTCCAGTTGTGTTTTCTCTTTTTGCTTAGCTTCATCACTTTCTGATTCCGCACCCTCTACATCTTTTCTATCACCATCACCATTTTTGTCGTCAAACTCCTTTCTTTCCTCAACCGACTCTGTTTTCTCACCAGAGTTCTCTTCACCCAATTTCTCAGGATCGGTCTTCTCTTCGTTGCTCTCTGTCACAACCTCAGTTTCCTCGTTCTTTTCATCCGAAAAACTCTTGGAACCTCGGTCAACTTCATCGTTTGTGAAGTCACTCTTAGTAGTAGTTTCCACATCTTTATTAGTCGTCTCTCTAGCAGAGAAGTCAACCGACTCAGCTGGAGCAGACCATGAAGCCATGAACATCCACGCCCCAACCAAACAGAGAGAAACAATCAAAACTATAGTAATGGTTAAGCCATAGCCCGATGACTTCTTCCCGTCTACACGAGAATATTTCCCCATTGCCATGTTCCTAGACCCACACCACAGCCCCTAGTCACATGCACCTGCACAATTAGTGACCAATAAAACTATCAAAAGGTCTGGTTCCGTATTAGAAGCTCTGACTAGTAAACACAGAGCAGAGAACACATAGCAGATACATAAAAATCAAACTAAACCAGTAAACACAGTTGCTAAACTTATGTCTACAAAATCACACATCATTTCTAACTTCAACGAACAAATAAAACAATAACAAAACCCAAATCACATAATACGTAAAGCAAAATCAAGAGCACATGAGTTAAGTAGTAAAACGAACAAGAAAAGATCCTAAGACATTATCGAATCTTGCATTTACAGAAAACCACAAGAAGAAAGCAAGAACATTTATAGAAAGGCGAGATAGTTGAAGTAAAGATTTACCAGAGCAAAAGGGTTTGCTTCAGATCTCGTAAAGATTGAAACTTTATGAGGCAGAGAGAGTAGAGAACTTGTTTGGCAGATCCGGATCTAAGTAGAAAGAAGCGAGAGTATGTGTGTTTATACAGTGATGATGATGATTCAGTAGATTGCTTTCTCAGAGCAAGTGGTGAGCAAAATCATACTACTACTTAACTCTCCAAAGCTAGTGGGTTACGGCCTTAAAATACCAGAATTTGGATCTGGTTTCCACCAAGATTAAATTAATTTTTTTTTTTTTAAATAATTCGTTTTTCGAAGATTTGTTTATTCGTCGGTCACCGACATTGAGCAGCTATAAAAAAAAGAGACTTGGGATCTTGAAGAAAGTCTTTTAGTTCACACGAACCGGTATCGTTTTGATGGAGAGGAGCTAGCGAATAAGTTCGTGGTGAAACTAGGATACGGCCCATATCGATAGGCCCAGTTTATTTCTGTGAGAAACTGAGATTTTGGTTCATTTCTTATTTTTTGAATTATGTCTAAACCAAAAACTATGATCCAATCAATCTCTCTGATTTATTTGCTCTAGTTATTTTGTCTTTCATAAATAACCAGTATGTTGTAAAAGTTAAACTAAGTAAATGACATTGAATTGAGAAGTTAATATATAGACATGCTATAGAGAGTAAAACAAGTGATATTGCATTAAAATGTTATTTTAAAAAGTAACATTTTTTGTGAATAAAAAAAAGGGATTAATTAATTAGGTGAATATTACATTTGTGAGCAATAATTAGCTAGGTAACATGTCTAAAAATATATTTAAGTAACTAGCAGAGAGAAAAAAATATGAGACAAAATTGCCCCTACAATATAATTAAAGTAAGTATGAAGAAAATCCTTAAATAATTATTCTGAAAAAATAGTTTATATATTATAATGATTTCATAATATAGTTAACTATTTTCAAAAAATAGTTTACAAATTTAAAAACTTAGTTAACTAATTTCATAGAATAGTCTACTCTACTGATTTTATAACATAATTGACTACATAAAAATGTTGTGATGATAGTTACTTATTTAACATAGTTGACTATTGATTTCATAACATAGTTGGCTACTGGTTTCATAACATAGTTGACTATAGAACGTAGTTACTATTACAGTTTGCATACTGAAAAAGAATAACATACATAGTTGACTATTATCAGAAATATAGTTACGTTTTATGGTTTGCACAATTAAAAAGAATAGCATACATAGTTAACTATTATCATTACCTATTATACTGATTCCATAACATAGTTAACTATAATGATTTCTAGCAGCGGCTCAGTTATACTAGGAGAGAGGACGACAATGGAGAGTTTAACGAAGGATAAAAATCATCATCTTAATCCTTGATTTGAAATTTTGATCCATGGTAATGATATAAGATAAAGTGATTGATTTTGTGGATCACCAAAGAAAGACGAGATCTA